CATTTCTAAAATGAATACTTTTTAAATCTGTTATTTAAAAAAAAAACAAAAAACCAAAAACCCTGAAATTGGGCTTCTAAAGACTCCAATAAAAGCTAAACCTATGTGGCTATGACAAGGACCTGCCCTGTCCTGGGGACTGTAGCAGGTGCTTTTTATTTATGAGCTCTTAAATCTTGAGAATCATACAGGGTAGGCACTACCACTGCAGATGAACAGATGAGGAAACCATGGCTCAGAGAGGCTAAGCAATGGTCCATACAGACCTGAGCCAGCGTTCTTTCCTGTTCATTAGAATCCACTGATGGCTAAGAACGGATTGCAGGGATCAATGCTGGATTGTATTCATTTATATTTCTTTTTCTTTTGAGATAGAGTCACACTCTGTCACCCAGGCTGGAGTGCAGTGGTATGATCACGGCTCACTGTAGCCTTGACTTCCCGGGCCCAAGTGATCTTCCTACCTCAGCCTCCCGAGTAGCTGGAACCACAGGTGTACACCCCTACACCTGGCTAATTTTTTTTTTTTGAGACGGAGTTTCACTCTTGTTACCCAGGCTGGAGTGCAATGGCGCGATCTCGGCTCACCGCAACCTCCGCCTCCTGGGTTCAGGCAATTCTCCTGCCTCAACCTCCTCAGTAGCTGGGATTACAGGCACGTGCCACCATGCCCAGCTAATGTTTTTGTATTTTTAGTAGAGACGGGGTTTCACCGTGTTGACCAGGATGGTCTCGATCTCTTGACCTCGTGATCCACCCGCCTAGGCCTCCCAAAGTGCTGGGATTACAGGCTTGAGCCACTGCGCCCGGCCTACCTGGCTAATTTTTAGGGGTTCGCTGTGTTGCCCAGGCTGGTCTCAAACTCCTGGACTCAAGTGATTCACCCGCCTTGGCCTCCCAAACTGCCAGATTACAGGTGTGAGCCACTGTGCCTGGCCTATTTAGATTTCTTGATGACAAATTTATCCACCCACTTTGGCTTAACCTAAGAAACCATTATTAAATACAATTAACAAAGATACACAGAAACAGAAAAGAAGAGGGTACTTATTTGGGAAGTTTGTCATAAGATAGATTTTAAATTAAAATATGTGGACTAGACAGCCTAAAATCTTAATTAGAATTGTGTGATTATGTTAGTACCTGTTCTGCCACAAGACTGGCAATTTCTTCATAAGTCTTTCCTGCTTCTGTTATTGCATCGTTGAGATCTGTTTCACCTGAAAATGATCAGTTTTATCAGTGGTTACAAGTTACATACATTTTCTTTTCACTTATTAAAAATTTTATTATAGATTTGACTGGTAAATATTGTTGAAGCTTTCAAACATTTTCAAAACTAGTGGGAATAGAATGAATGCCCATCGCCCGCCATCTGCCTTCTCCACTGGCAGTGCTCGCCAGCCTTTGTTTACCCACACCCGACACCCTCTCACTGGACAGCAGCATCTCATCCACAAATCCTAATAGTTGAGGACTCTGAAACATAAGGCAGTACCATTATGACACCTAAGACGAGACTGTCACTCTGCTACAATGAGGCCTCTCAGGGCAAGCTGGCTGCCTATATCAGGCTGTAAAGGTCCACAAAGCACAGAACTGATGTGTTTCTTACATCTGTGGATTCTTCTCCCTCACCCCCTTTTTTCCCTTCACATTTCTTTTTGTGGGGTGCTGTACTCAACACTAAGTGCAGCAGCCTAGCCAATTTACACACCAATAACCAGGGTACTTCACTGAGGAGGGAGTTGTCATCCACAGGATCCTAAGCAGCCGACAGGTCTGGAAAAGGCTCTAAAGGCCAACTGAATGAATGAATAAAGACACACCTTGATAGCCACTAGAACTGAACACCGTGGCTAAACTCTGCAAGGCCTTTCCTATCTTCTGATATTCCTTTGGTAATGCTGAAAGAGAAAATGCAATAAACCATTAGTCTTCTGAGCAAACTGAAATGGGATTAAACTGTTTCCTAAAAGTGATTATGTTATAGAAATGAAGTGATTCAAAATAGTCTATATTCCTTCATAAAATATTGTTGCAAAAGTGATTGTTTTTCAATGAATGATTTTTTGGATTGTTTTTAATTGATCGTTCAATTAATGGTAGATGCCATTATTACTGACAATCACTTCTACATTCTCACTCACCGAATGAGATGTAAGTAAAATGGAAGCACCTTTAGGTGGTTTCTAGTTTACCAAGTACTTTCAGCAAGACTGTGCTTGATCATCATGATAGCCCCTCTACCAGATGCAGAGATACCATCCTCATGCTGAGGATTAGGAAAACAAGGCTCACAGAACTGACTTGTCACATGGCTAATAAATGGTGGACGTGGACTTCCAATTCCAAATACGTAGCCTTTCCCCCTCTGTTACAGATGCATAAATGACCATTTACAAACCATAACCACCAAAGACTGAAACCAACAAGATGTGGAGAAAAATACAACAGTCAGACTTTGCAAGACCAGAGAAGCGGGGTCTGAGTTTCCTCATCTGTATAATGAGATGATTTCACTAAATGGTCTCTAAGGTTTCTTTTTAAGGTGCTAAAATTCTCGCATCACTTTGGAGAATTCCCAAGAGTCTCCGCACCTTAGGCTACTTTATCTGCATTTGTACAGAGTCCCCTTAAATGTAGCCTTTCAAAAGAAACTATTATTTGCATTTAGAGACTCATTACAGTTTTAAAGGAGAAAAATTAAACTTTTAACGTTTCTTTAAAAAATATTTTGGCCAGAGACATTTGAGTTAAGTTCTATAAGCTGCAGTTATCAGGAAACATGAATCCAAATTACAGGAGCCTAATAAAATTCCATCAGTTAATTTAATAAACTGTCCACCCTGTAGTGCCTCTGTTTTTGCCTCTCTACCTGAGGCTGAAGGCACCTGGCATGTGGTTCACCATGCAGAGTGTATGCTGTTTTCATTCTACACACTAGGAATTTTAAAGAACTATTTTGAATAAGAGAAGGAGATATGCCTGAGTCAAATCCTAAACAAAGTGCCTCAATCCCTTTCCCCATCCCACAAAAGAGCAGCTTGAAGCCAGGATTTTCTTTCTACATTTAGCCTTGTGGATTACATAGGACATAGAGTTGATCAGATATTAGACATATGGGATTTAATTCTTTAAAAGATACCGTAATTCCAAATTTTTGTGATATCCTTAAAAAATGGGATTGTAAAATTTGCACTCAGGAAAAATGGCTTTCGAAGAACATATGGATTTAAATGATGTGTTATGATGGTCTTGTAAGAGTTTACAGTCAAAATTAATTCACTGCCTTTAAAACAGAATTCCTTCATTCTTACTTTAGAGGATCAGTCCCCCAACCTTTCTGGCAACAGGGACTGGTTTCATGGAAGACACTTTTCCACCGGTAGACAGCAGGCTGGGGGAATGGTTTGGGGATGAAAGTATTCCACTTTAGATCATCAGGCATTAGATTCTCATAAGGGCTCACAACCTAGATCCCTTGCAGGTGCGGCCCATAATAGGGTGTGAATTCCTCTGAGAATCTAATGCCATCGCTGATCTGACAGGAGGCAGAGCTCAGCTCAGGCGGTAATGCCTATAAATAGAGATGAAGCTTCACTTGCCTCCTGCTATGCGCGGTCATGGTCCATGCACCAGTCCATGGCCTGGGGATTGGGGACCTCTGCTTTAGAGAACAATGTCAACTTTGCTTTTTGTTCATGAGTCATCCTCTGTGACCTGTATTGACACAGGTTTTGTTTTCTAGATGCTGTATTTGTATACATTATTTTCTCAGGGCTAATTCTATGTATTTAGGATACAGCATCATGTTTCCTTGCTATGGGAAAGAAGCAACTGTTATTCCTCGTGTCTGCACCTCAAGCACAAACAGCTGGTATGCTACAAGTTTCACTGGAATAAGAGAATATGTGGATGGCAAAGTGCCACTGGTACTGGTATTGCTGCTGGTAGAGGAAGAGGTAGAGTAGCATTGGCCAATGGCTGAGGTAAGGCAGGGCCTGGAAAACTTCCTCTGCAAAGTGCCAGATAGTAAATGTTTTAGGCTTTATAAAGCCACAAGTTTCTGTTGAAACTACTCAACTCTACCATTATGACACAAATGTAGCCAAAGACAATATATAAATAAATGGGTATGGGTGTGCTCCAATAAAACTTTATTTACAAAATAGGTGGCAAGCCAGATTTGGCCCTCAGACTATAGTTTGCTGACTCCTGGTGTAAGGCTTTGGATTTTCAGATCTGGATTGAATAAACAGTAATATTGCCATTGTCTTTCCTGTGCTATCTTATTAATTCATCTACGGGTCATTCCACATTTAGTTTCCTGCTTTTTAAAATTATTATTGGATTTCAAATTCTGACTGTTTTTCTTTAGTATAAAAACCCCATCTTAAAAAAAATTAACAGATCCTTTTTCTCTGCTGAGCATCAAAGGGCTGATATATATTACTCATAATTTAAAATATAAGTCATTTAAATTTTTTTAAATGGAATATAACCAATATCTCTGTACAGTGTTAGAAGGTGAAGGCCAGAAAATTCTTAGTGATAGATTAGAAGTCCCTTTTCTCCAGAGGTTGAGACATAGCAATAAGGGCAAACCAGACAGAAAGGAGAGAAAAGTCCTAGCACTTTACTAGGTAGTCAAAGACATCTGCGCGTTCAACAGCAGTGTGATCCCAGCATTTCAGGGCCTGACAAGTCATTCTGCAGCCTCTGAGCCTGAGGGGAAACCAGGCAGCAGCCGGCAGCATTAGCCCCACAGCTGGATACGTGACTGTTTTTCGATCCTGGGCCACATGTGTGGCGACAAAGCTGCACAGTTCTGGGGAATACAGGAAAAACGTTCAGCAGAACCACAGCCTACACACAAAGTAAAAAAAGAGGGAGGCAGGAAGCTCTCAGGCACACAGCAGAGTGGGCAGAAAGCCGGGACTCATAGTGACACTCTCCTCGGCAGTGCTTCTGCTCTGACGTATTTTCTATGACTATGCTTTTTTTTTTTTTTTTTTTTTTTCTAAAAATTATGGCTTTAGTCAAATATACAACATCTTACCAAATGAAGATTAAAAAATAAAATGAGACTAAGAATAATGACAAGCACTCTCAAAACAGGCAAAAATGATTAATTTTCCAAAGATTATAAAGCCCGAAATTACTGGACCTAATTAAGTGAACATGGTGCTCCTTATGAGATTTCTTAACCTGGCTTTGTTTTTTTTTTTTTTTTGAGACGGAGTTTCACTCATGTTACCCAGGGTGGAGTGCAATGGCGCGATCTTGGCTCACCACAACTTCTGCCTCCTGGGTTCAGGCAATTCTCCTGCCTCAGCCTCCTGAGTAGCTGGGATTACAGGCACGCACCACCATGCCCAGCTAATGTTTTGTATTTTTAGTAGAGACGGGGTTTCACCATGTTGACCAGGATGGTCTCGATCTCTTGACCTTGTGATCCACCCGCCTCGGCCTCCCAAAGTGCTGGGATTACAGGCTTGAGCCACCGTGCCCGGCCAACCTGGCTTTGTTAGTCAATTTTTTGTGAAGTGAGGTTAAGCAGTCACAGGAGGGACATTACTGCCATCCACCAAATACATTTCTATTCAAGGCATCAGGTTCCCGCTATGATCAGGGGCATAAAACTGCGCCTGCATCAGCACCCAAAAGCCCAGCCGGCTGTGAGCAGTGGACTTACGCCCCGTGCACCGTTTCCAGTGCTCCTGCCCCACGGTCAGCAGCTCCTTCACTCCATCATCCATGGCCTTGGTGAACTTCCCGACGGCCTCGCACTTCTGCTCTCTGTGGGCAAAGGCAGCCATCAGTCACATGAGCAGGAGAAACAGCACTGCTGTCGATCGGAGACACGCAGGCCAAACATAACCACAGACACTTGTTTTCCTGCATGGTAACAACTCCCCTGGCACTAAGTTAGCCTTAAACACAGGCTTGATGCAGACGTTTGAAGAACTACTTAAAAAGCAGTTATTATTTTAACTTTGCTTCCTTTCTTCCTCTTCAATTCTTGGTCAATTTTAATTATAATTATTCTAAAGTAAATAAAATAATAACTTCTTGAATATCTCATTTAGTAAAATTCCAATCACTGGAGGGACCATCAAATCCATAAAAGGATAACGGGGGTTGCTGATGCCAGCTGGTCATTCATTCCAAGTACTCCATGAAACAGACAATAACCTGGACGCATAATCAGCTAAGTGACCCTGAAGATACCAGAGTTCTTTAAAAGGGTGTCAAAGTGTATTTACCAACCTGAAAAGATCACAATATACTGTTAGATGAAAAAAGCAGATTATAAAACAAAATGGATAGTGTGAGGTCATTTTTGTTTAAACAATCTTTCCTATAATTGTGTACAGAGGAGGATTTGGGAGACTGTACACTAACATATTAACACTGATTTTTCTCTCTGGGTGGTTGAAGGGTTATGTTTATGTGTGTGTGTGTGTTTCTCGTCTATACTTTTGGTAACACATACGCAATAATTTTATGATAAAAAAGCTTAAAATTAAAAACACAAATTTCTTATAAGTCCTTAATAGAAAAGGAACTACTCCAAAGTTTCAAGGAGTAGAATGTATTTAAAATGAGCCTGTATTTAAAAACTAAATAATTAAAATCAATAGATTAAAAACAAAAAAAACATACAGAAAAAGCAGGTTAGAGACTGCCTCAATGCCATGTTCAAAGAGATTTGCTGTCTGAATATTGTGTGGGTTTTAGGCAGCTCTGTTCCCCTTGGTTTCATCACACTATTGGAAACAGCTACTCAACACCGTCAACTACGAAGTCACTGGCTTCAAGGTAAAAGAAAGAAGTTTAATCTGATGTTATGGTTAGAAAGACAGTACTTCTATGTACAAACAATATTTCCCTTGTCATTGGACTACAAATCCTGCTCATTTCATAAAACTCTAGTCTGACAATTTGAGTTTCAGCTGCGGCTATCCTGGCTGAGGCCTGAAAGGAGGAGGTTGTGGATTGAGAAAAAGGAAAACCTGGCAGCGCCTCTCACATTTCTACTAAGTCCAAGTCAGGTGCCTCTGGTTCCATGGTGGAAAATATCATGACTCCCGCCAGCTCATCTCTCTCAGCCTTCCTCTTTCCAGTTTTCCATTCCTGTAAATGAGAATGTGGTAATGTTCAAGTGGACAGCACAAACTGGTCTCCAAAATTCCCCAACAGGACCAGTTCACTGATCACCTTTATCTAATATTCAGAAAGCAGCTCCCACTCTATCTCCCTCTGCACCATGGGCTAAATACCTTTATACCCCAAATGTCATCTCAGGGCATGAACAGTGTCATGCCACAGAACGGCCCTTATGGGACCAAGTCTTTTGCGAATGAACCGATTCAGCCATGTTCCCTTTCCAGTGGCTATCTACATAAACATGGCAAATAGAAACACCCTATACTTTTTTTCTTTTCCTGAGAAAGGGTCTCACTTTGCCCTCTAGGCTGGAGTGCAGTAGCGTGATCTCAGCTTACCGTACCCTTGAACTCCCAGATTCAAGTGATCCTCCCACCTCAGCCCCCCAAGTAGCTGGGCCTTTAGGCACACACCCCCCACGCCTGGCTAATTTTTTTATTTTTTGTAGAGATGGGGTTTTGCCATGTTAACCAGGCTGGTCGGGAACTCCTGGGCTCAAGCAATCTGCTCACCTCGGCCTCCCAAAGTGCTGGGATTCCAGGCATAAGCCACTGGGCTCGGCCCACCGATGCATTCTGACCAAGTACCTCAAATGTTTAGGTTAACTGTTTTCTAAAAAGGTAAATGCTTTTCTAAAATATAAGCTAGAAACCAGTATTATGATCTATTTAAAAAAAAACATATTAAGGTATACACACACACAGGGTACCCAAAGCAAAAATATCCAGTGCAATGAATTGTCACAAAATGAAGACCTGCCTAACAACCACCTAGGCCAAGATGGAGCAAAGAGCTCCCTTCCAAAAGTCCCCCTCATTGTCCTTTCCCTAAGTACTGCTACCTCCTCCCCACCCCCACACAAGGTAAGTAATAACCCTTCTCTTGCGGTTTTCATTTCCTTGCTTTTCTGCTATGGTCTGAATGAGTTCACTTCAAAATTCATGTTTTGACACTTAATAGCCAATGTGATACTATGAAGAGGTGTGGTCCTTAAGAAGTGATAAGGTCACGAGGGCTGCTCCCCTTGGGAATGAGATTTGTGTCCTTATAAAAGGGCTTGATGGAGGAAGTTTGTCCCTTTTTGCTCTTCCACTTTCCACCATGTAGGAACTCAGCATTTCTCCCCTTTGGAAGATGCAGCCCTCACCAACCACCAAATGCTGGTGCCTTGATCTTTGACTTCCAGCCTCTGCAAATGTGAGAAATAAATTTCTGTTTTTGATAAATTAGCTGGTCTCAAGTGTTCTGTATTTTGTTACAGCTGCACAAACAGACTAAGATACTTTGTTTAGAGTTTTAACACCTAAACTCTTTGTTTAGAGTTTTAGCACCTGACCTGTCTTGCTAGTTTTTCAAGCTAGCAACGAACCCTAAACACATTCTTCAGCGTCTGGCTTCTTTTGCTCAATCTTGGTTAGGAAGTACAGTCACATTCTTGTGTAGAACTATAGCTCATTCATTTCACTGCTGTATAATATTCTACTGTATGAGGAATCCCCAATTTATTTATCCATTCTACTACTAGTGGCCACCCTTATCAAGTTATGAATACAGCTGTTATGTACATGTCTCCTGGTGTCTGTGTGCATGCATTTCTATTCAGTATACACCCAGGAGTGGAAATGCCGGGTCATAGGAGGGGTTCAACCTTAGTAAATGCCAAACTTTTCCAAACTGGTCTTACCAATTTCCCCCAAGATGTTATGAGTCCCAGCAGCATCTCACCGTACCAAGATGACACTTGGTCTGATCAGTTTTAGCCATTCTGGTGAGCGTGTAGTGGTATCTTGCTGTGGGTTTTAATTTGTATTTCTTGATTGCTAATGAAATTAAGTACTTTTCTATACATCTGTTGTTGATCAGACACCTTATTTTCTGAAATACATTATCAAATCTCCTATTTTCTACTGGGCCTATCGATGTTTTCAAATATTCTAAAATCTAGCCCTTCACTGCTTATATATGTTGCAAGTATCTTCTACTCAGTAGCATGTTTTTTGCTCGTAATGGCTCTGCTGAAAAAAAAGTTCTAATGTAGTCTATCCACGTCTTTCCTGCATGGTCTTTTTCATGTCATATTTCAGAAATACTTCCCTGCTCTCTAGGATATGAGGATGTTCTCCTACGTTATCTTCTGTAAGCATTACTGTGCTGCTTTTCACATTTAGATCTGTGAACCACATGGAAATCATTTTCCAAAAAACTTTATACAATGAAAACTTTCAAACATATACAAAAGAGAAAAGTAAAATAAACCTCTACAGGTTCAGTTTCGATAATTATCAACACTTTGCCAATCTTTTTTTTAATATCAATAGTTTAGTGTAAGAGATATGGAAGTCATTTACAGGAGGAAGTCTTTCAGCTGTGATGGCACGGGCAGCTGCATGTGATGCCATTTCAGTAGGGACTTACTTCGGCTTACACACTTTCCAAGAATGGCACCACCTCTAAATAAGAAATGACCCTTGCCTAGAACTACTTTAGTGCCTCCATATTCTGGGAGAACTTTAGCTTTCAAGCTAACTGGTTAAGTCTTTCCACCCTTACCTTTAAGGTCTGATCCAATAGCTACTACTGTTGCTTGCAATACTTTTGAGATTTTTCAACCAATACTCAAAGAGTGAAAGGAACTTTCTAAATGCCTGTCTGCTGTGACTTCACAGGAGACCCACAGCTCAATCTTTAGCACATGTGGCCACAGGAAAAGCCGCCCAGGCACTACTGTTCCCTGGGAGGTGCCAATCTTGTTTCACAGGTACTCTCCTCCATTCTACCTCTGGGATGTTTTTTCTTACTTTAAAGCTAATTTCAAATATAATACACACACACACACACACACACACACACACACACAGACACACAAAATATATATATATATGTACACACACATACGTATATATATTTGAGACAGAGTTTTGCTCTGTTCCCCAGGCTGGAGTGCAGTGGCACGATCTTGGCTCACTGCAACCTTCACCCCCAGGTTCAAACGATTCTCCTGCTTCAGCCTCCCAGGTAGCTGGGATTACAGGTGTGTGCCACCAAACCTGGCGACTTTTGTATTTTTAGTAGAGACAGGTTTTTGACATATTGGCCAAGCTGGTCTCGAACTCCTAATCTCAAGTGATCCATCGCAACTGGCCTGGGTCATGTTTTAAAAACATAATAATATCAGTAACAGCCCTAATAAAATAAACTGCAGATTGTAGTGAGGTAGTGAGCACATTTCATTTCCCTGCGGTGTGCCATCCAACTGACCCAGCACCAGTTACTGGAAAGACTATCCTTTCCCTACTATGCTCAGTGCCATCTTTGTCACAGATCAAGCGTCTACTCTGTTCTGCTCCACTGGTTGGTTTGTCTAGCCTCATGCCGATACCATGCTTTTAAAGTTTTTAGCTTCACAATGAGTTCTGATACGCAGTGAAGTTCTCCTCCTACTTCATCCTTTCCCAAGAGCATCCTGGCTATTCTTAGCATTCTGATTTTCTACATATGACATCTTTATTGTTTTCAGT